GTGACATTAGTACAAGCAGTGAGTGTAAAATCAGGAGGAGGAGATATCTCGACGTTTCCATTTTGCAGTATGCGACCGCAGCCAAAACCGTTTTGACACTCTGATCAATCTTCGGTGTTGATGTGTGGGAGAATACGCCAAGAATCTCGCGCACGTACTGCGTGTGAGGAGTCTCCTTGACAGCTGCTTTCTTCGTGAGCGCAGCATCGTGGAGATTGAATATATCCGTCTGATGCCAAGGGGCCTCGGAGGCACATTGGAAGAGTTGTATATCTAATTTTCAATTCTTGGAGTCAGTGTCATTTAGTCATTACATGTCAGCAAAGCCAACGACACCTACTTGGTTGTTTGTTGAGCCATGTATGGACTCGCAACTGGCTTTTGGGCAGAATTTTGAAGGGAGGTGTAGCGGGAGGTGGCACGTCTAAGGCAGCTTGATTGGTGCCTTGAGCCCTCAACCACAGGAGGTGAAGCGTCGCTCAGTAGATGTCGGGCATGTCGTCATTGTGAATGGTCTTTCTACCAATGGTCTTCTTGGCAACCTCGAAGGCAGTCGGGTCGGGGGCAGCCCAAATGCCGACCTTGGGCACAATAGTGCGAACGTCCTCGCTGACAGGTATGGGAACACCACCAGCAGGAATGCCGCCAGGTGGGTTGATCGGGAGCATTGGTGCGCTTTTAGGTGAGGAAGGAGTTGGGCTTTTGGAGCTTGATGTTGGCAATACATCACCCGTTATGTTGGGGTGCGTGAGATCCTTGAGAGTGGCCAGGAGATCCTTTGGATGACTCTTGCAGCCGAGGTTCAATCCGAGGGAAGGGCTCAACGTGGTAGAGATAACAGGGTTGGGGTTCGTGGGGGGAGAGTGATCCGGCGTCTTCGCACGTGGTTCCAGCGATGGCCCGTGATCAGTACTTGCTGCACAAAGTGATGTGGCTTCAACATCACTTGTCTTCAAGGGAGGCTGGGGCGGCGCCGTGGCAGAGTGGGAAGTTGTGGTATTGGTGGAGGAGGGTAGTTCGAGAGTGTCCAAGGTTGGTACCGGTTGTTGTCTGGTTTCAGGCGCACCGCTAAACGTCATCATGGATGGGTCCACGTAGGCAGGAGCTTGCGTCGAAGGGTTAGGAGGTGCCGAGACGCCCGCCGTTGATTCCGTGACTGATTTTGGTTGGGCGGTGGTGATGTTCAGCTGCGAAGGCTCATGAGGTTGTGGCTTGATCCGCTGAGACTCGATGTATCGGGTGATGGAGTCGAACTTGGACTGGAGGTATAGGTCTCCACTGGGAATTGGCCAGCCATTGATCGCGCGGGAAGTGGTCACCCATCGCCGGAATAACCCTTCGAAGCCATGAGGACCACGTCGAAATGTTTTTGGGATGACATCTATACCTAGGTGACAATCCATCATCTTGACGAAGAGGCCCCAGGTTCCGTCATCTTCATCCTCATCGGGGGTTGGAAGCCAGAGCGGGTGATCAAAGAAAACAGCAAACTCATCCGTTGCAAGGCCAACGGGAATGTTGGTTGGAAATTCCAAAAGCGCCTCGAAGCCGCTGATCTCTTTCTCAATCTCGTCCGGAAGTTCGAGTTCAATTGGCATGAGGGATTCGTGCGCAGCTTGCGGAGGCTCTTGGGCAGGCGAGGTATCGGTACTGTTAGCAAGGGGTGGAGATGGACCGGCGCCCCCGTCGATTTGGGGGGGGCCAGAAGAGGCAACAGGAGTTGCAACCGGAGCCCCAAGTCTGTGAGCCGGAATGCCAAAGGGAGGCCTGGTCTGACCGATCAGACGTTCTCCCTTTTTCAAGGCGGCAACCAAAGGGTTCAATCGATCGTGCAGGTCGCGGGTATCATGCGGCGTCCAGCCCGGGAGACTCCTCACGGCACGTAGCCATGAGAACATCAAATGATACGCTGTAGTATTTAAAGCTCAACAAGAGCTTTACAACACCTAAGAAGGGATAATCTACTACGTGTAATATAGTAGAAGTTGCCTAAAGACTGCCTTCTTCAAAGAAACCAGCACAAGGGCACTTGCTGACCACTTTGTGATAACAGAGAAAAGGATAAAAGGCACCAGAGAAATAAAGCAATACTGTTGTTAAGTATTATTCCCAGATTTTAAGCGCAAAAAAGTCACACACTATGTTTATTACTAGCAATACTGTTGTAAGTATTATTCCCAATTAGACTTGTAGTCTTTAACACACGTAAATAAATTTCTCCTTGCTTTTGAAGGGGCGGATTTAAGTGATCTTAGTACAAATATAGTAAATAAATGATGATTTATAACACTACAACAAAGGTATAAGATGCAGAAAAGGGCGCTACAATCCCAAAATCATCAAGGAGTACTTATATCCACATGTAACAATCTTTACAACAGTCAACAGCCTCAAAAACCAATCAAATCCGCCTAAATAACCCTAAAAACCATGTAATGACGCAATGTAATGATCTTGTTACTAATGTATGATGTAATTTTCACAGCCAAAAGTGATCAATGACGCAATGATGTAATGTACAGCACTTCTTAAGATGAATACAGGTGATTTTTTCCTTGTAAACTAGCTGAAACCCAATTTTTGAGATTACGAATTTTTTCAGATGTGCTCCAATTTTTGATTACTAAAGTGCATCTTGTAGCCCACGTGTTACTGATCATTTCTGACACCTATAAGACCTACTTCTGATGAGTGATGAGTAAGATATTGAGTTGTGAAGTTAAGGTTTTTGGTGTTACATGTGTCTTGTGACTGTAAATTCGAGATTCACACCAATTTCTTATTTCCCTTATAACTTTTTACATACACCTCCGTTACTAATGATTCAAAGGTTGTACATTATGAATTTGATGATTCTGCGTCGAATGAGCTATTACTTATCATGTTCTGACGTCATTTGACACATGTAATCAGCTGAAAACCTTCATTTTCGACTATTTTCACCTATTTTCTTCACTTTTCACACCTTTTACTAAGCCTTTCTTGCCTTCTGTAACATTACACAGTAATCTCCAACCGTGAAAATCCCTAAAAACACCCTTGGCAACTTTATTCATTACTAATACTACTGTTACATATGTAAAACTACCTGTAAACCCTTGTTTACCAACTTGGAAAAAGTACCTTTCTGCTAATAACCTCTGTTTCCCCTTATCAACCTTGAATATTAAAATTGTTCCTGTATAATAAACTGTTGTTCTTTCATATTCTAACCTTATAAAACCCATAACTTAATTATAAATAAGCTAAAAACCATTTTCCAACTTTTACACCTATATTTTCGAATTTTTCTTATCTTTTCTTTTTCTGTCTTTTTGTAATAACTTTGTAAGTAAACTATGTTGATCTTAATAATAATTTTGAAATAAGATGACATAATAATGAGCTAATAAGTATACATAAGCCTCTAAGAGCTTCAATTGATCTGAAAACCTGAATCTCGAATTCTCTGCTATATTGAAGTTTGCTAATAAACTGGTAAAGTAAAGATGATTAATTTTTCTGCTTAATATCATAAATAGATCACCACAACGCGTCTGTGCCGCTTCGCAGGTTCAGGGGGAGCTGGGATTGATATAATACGGTGTCCCAATGGTGTTTGACGTAATGAGATAAAGGTAAGTGCTGAGAGCGATCTGAGGGAAGTCCAAAAGGGGTTGAAAAGAGGGTGTAAAAAGGATCCGAAGGGGTGGCGCTCATGGGTGGATACCATGAGGGTCGCTGTGCATAATCCAAGATTTCGTTGCTAATGTGCCTGAACCGGCGTCGGCGTGGTGCATTCGGGGTTTTTAGGGGGAGGCGGAGGTGATGGAGCGCGAGGTGTAGGTGGTGATGGAGCGCGAGGTGTGAGGTGCTGGTATCCTG